TCTGGAAAAGACTGATCCGACAAGCTCAAGTATATCCTACCAATTATACCCTTAAAATACCAATCTCAGTTCTATATCATCTTATAGACAACATATCCTATTCCAATTGGATTTCCAAGGCTATAGCTTACATCAATGACCTTTTTGAAAATAACATCCATAAGTCCTTCAAGTCCCCCCAAAAGCAATTCCTATTAACAAACCACATTCCACTACATACGTACAACCCACTATTTGTCGATACTATCAAATTGGTCATGTAAAATTCCTCAACCAGTATAGGTCTTTCTCAAAGAGCCTACATCGCATAAAAAAAGCATCACAACCTTTTACACTATCCTCCAACAAAACTCAACTTTCTCAAAACCGCTCCCCTTCAACATTGGGAAGTTGATCACATATAATGTGGCTTGCTGTTCCACATTATGGGAACTTTCTGTTAAAATAGCCCAGTGTTGTTACATGACTCCAGACAGAATCACTCGCTTCAGTGTATCTCCAGCTAATCATTGCTGGAGAAACTGTGGCCAAAAAGTAGACATACTCCACATATTTTGGGGATGCACTAAACTGATACCTTACTGGACATCCATGTTTAATATATGAAGTTGCCCACACATCAATACTCCCTACACCTAGCCTAGCACTTCTATCTCTTGATACTGACCTTCTCCCTCCTAAGTCATAACATATGATCTTAAATATTCTTTTGGCAGCAAGACTAAATATCACCAAAAATGGAAGAACCCATCCCCTCAATACTATTGGAAGTAATAGACCTAGCCCAACTCCACTGTTCCTACGAACGTATGATGACCTGTAACTCTGGTAAATCTGACCACATGTCTAAACTATGGCACCTCTGGTATGAATAGTATTCCTCCTATTTTTGATCATTGAAGTCATATATCCTTAAATGAATAACAATTTAACCATTTCTTAAATTACAACCTTGGGCACCACATGGGCCAGCTTCCAGCATCTTAACAACCAATGACATCATTGGTTGATAAGGAGGAAGTCTGGTGTCTGCACAGAATCCTTATTTGCCCCTCTTCTGTTCTTTTTCTATCAACACTGGGGTCACTGGGAACACTGGAATACTAGTCAGCACCAGAGTGTAAAGGTGTATCTACTTTGTAAGAATAGATCTCCTCTAATGTTCTGTGCCCTACGTGTGTGGATGTTGCTGAATTATATAAAACCATTAGTTTTGTTTTTTTTTACATTTCAGAATGGGGTGCTTCAAGATTGTGAAAAATTTAAAGGGCATCTTGACTGAAAAAATGTTTAGAAACATTGATCCATATTAGGATACCATAACCGATAGCTATATCAATGTCACTGTGGGGTTTATTTACTAAAGCTGGAAAGTGGAAAATCTGGCTCACTTTTGCATAGAAACCAATCAGCTCCAGGTCTTATTGCCAAAGCTTAATTGAACAAGCTGAGGTTAGAAGCTGATTGGTTTCTATGCAGAAGTGACCCTGATTTTGCACAGTTTTAGTAAATAAACTCCTGTGTGACCTCATCCGGATGTGCACATTCATGCTTCACAAAACATCCTTACTTGGTCCTCTTCTTATGGAGGAAGCCGTACTCTTCAGGACCACTGGAGGTTACCATGAGGATGGCTCCCTGTACAAATAGATGCAGCTATTGCATACGTAGGTAGAGAAAACCATGTGAGGATATATTAAGAAGTCCAAGCAGTAGCTGATAGGGAAGCACAGTGAAGATTGCTAGACTGAGGTTGAGTATCAGACCAGGTGGACTGCACTCAAGAGGGTTGGTGCATTTGTTAAAGGACAACCTATTCCTAGTCAGTGATTGACATTTTTGTGAAGCCAGGATCAGGATGATGACCCCCAAGAGCCTGCACCTCTAAAAACAAGTCAGCAAAGATAGCTCACTTGCAGGTTTAGTTTAATATTACCAGTGTGAAATGCTCTTGAGATAGTATTGAATAATATCTTTGTTGTCTTTATGCAGAAATGTTTTATGCACCACTAGAAAAATGCAGCTTTGGAAATTCTTTAATCTAGATATGTGATACATCTACTTGGCATTGTCTGTCGAAAATTAATGTCAATAATAAAATCGTAATGAGATTCATCTTGAGATTTAAATGATAACGGGTCCTATTAGTTTTAGACTTTTATGACACAGAAACAATAACTTCCTGTTTAATCAAAAATATTGAGCTATGGTAACTGCTAGCAGATTAATTTTATAATATTGGAAACAAAGGTATAATTCTGTTTTTTATTGAAACTTTAAAAAAAGTCATGCTTACCTTTCCTTTGAGGAAATAAGTACATAATAAAAATAACAAATAAAATAACAGTAAAAACTATACCCCAGGCTAAAACTAAATACACAGATAAAACAAATATATGGGATCTGTTCAACTTTCCAAAGGCTTTGTGTTTCTCTGCATCCATTCCTGTGATTTTTACAGACCCTCACACAGTGTGGCCAGATGGTTGACACCACTTACAGTTTAAATATACAATGTTGTATGAATGAAAAGAGAGAGAGAGCAGTAGCAAATTGATGAGGTCACCTTTCTGTTCACTCTGCTGTCTCATCCTATCAGCTTGGTACTTGTCAAAAAAATCTGCATGCAGCAAACCTGATTGACTCCTGCTCCTGACACTTCATTTTCCAGTTTGAGCTTTGCTGTATAGGGGCTAAGTATTTCGCACTTCCGTCTAGAAGCACTAGGGTCGTCACTCCGAATTCAAACTGCGGCACTACTTGCCTGGAGTTTGCATGTTCTTCCTGTGTATGCATGGGTTTCTTCTGGGTACTCCAGTTTCCTCCCACACTCCAAAGACATGCTGGTAGATTCATTGGTTTTGGTCTAAATTGGCATTAGTGTTTGTATGTATAAATGTGAGTTACGGACGTTAGATTGTAAGCTCTTTGAGGGCAGGGACTGATGTGATTGTACAATATATATGTAAAGTGCTGTGTAAATTGATGGCGCTATATAAGTGTCTGCAATAAATAATAGTTGCAATAAAAAATATATATTTAATTATGTATTATTGTATACATAACTGCATTATTGTATCTGCCCCCTCCATTCATAGATTGTGTTTCAGTCATAGAAGCAATAATACAGTTTATATGAATGGTAGAGTTGGACAGAAACAGTGGGCATAGTCAGGCACTCTTGATGAGTGCCTGTGGCAGCTCACTTAGTTTTGTTGTCCTCCGCCGCAACAGATGATTACAGAGGAGGAGGATTTCCTAAAGAAAGAAACAGCAGCATAAGGAACATATCTCACTGAAGATAAGTAATGCCCTTGTGTTAAATTTTTACTATCTTATTAAGGAAACCTAGGAATTTTTTCTTGTGATACTAATAATGGCGGTGATCAGCGACCTATAGTGGGATTGTGGTGGGCATTCTGACACTGGGAGGGAACTGAATAACTGCCACTGACATCCCAATCACTCTAATACAGTGATCAGTGCTAATAAAAAGCACTGACACTGTACTAATGACACTGGGTAGCAAGGGGTTCACTGTGTGCTGTTTTACATAATGTGCTGTATGTGTTTAACTAGGGAGACATGCTACTATGTATTTCTCTGCTGTGCAGAGAAATACACAACAGCATGTCCTTGCTGGCAGGAGAGAGAACTGTGTTGGTTACACACAGGTCTCTCCCCAGTCAGCTTTGCACGGTGATCGCCGGGTGCCAGCAGGGAATCTCCAGCCGGGACCTGGTGATTGACATTCCTACGGCAGCGCAGGTAGGGCAGCGCGCACATCCCTAACTGGAAATGCAAATCATGTGTATATACGTGATTTTGAGCAGCCCTGCCGCCCTGTGGCAGTAGTTCGACTATAGGGCGGCAGGGAAGCGATTAACAGAGACTCACTGAGTCTATAAAATAATCCTGTTTCAAAAACTTTCTGATTGCAATCCTGGATGGATGGTCTCCCACTGTTTTTTTCCCAACCCACCCTTTTTATGTTGATGTAATATTCTAAAACTATTAACAGACTACCTACCCACTTTCAAATTGAAAATAACTGGGTAAAGTCAAAATAATAGTTCCTACAATTATCCTTCAACTTTAACTCATTTACATTTTTCATGTTTTTCTATCATGTAATTCCTAACATTATGTTCTAATGTAACATTGTAACAACATGTAAATTGGTTACCAATTGAAACTTGCATTGTCTTAATTGTAGAGACAGGTTATTCTTCCTACCTGTAATTCTACATGTATTGGTTATTTCTTTAATGTTTGAATGTAACCCTGGCAAGACAATTAGTAAACATTTTGAACGTGGAAAAAAATGTGAAGGCTGCATTATAAAGAATACAAAGAAAGCATTATAAATTACTCAAATTATGTGCTCACTTGAAATACACTATACTTTCCCTTTAAAAAAATAAGTTTCTTGCTTGAGTTCTAGAGTTGAAAGAATTTTTAACTTTTTTTATATCAGGTTCTTTCCCCTTGTGTCAATAGCTACAGTGAACTGTTGGTAGTTCCAGTTCTCTATTTTCTCACATTTTTCTGTTTGCTATCATTTCTTTTTTAATGTTTTTTTTTTTTTCAAATGTACTTGGATTGCAGTCAGCTTTTTTAAATAAAATGGCAAAGTAAAGCAATGTTCTGAATTTCAAAGAAAGTCAACTTCTGCATTAATACAAAAATACCTCTACATAATGTAAAATCAATTTTTATTTGTCAGGCTTATGGCCTGGAAGCCAAATGTGTTCCATGTACAAACTTAAACTCAGGCTCCATATATACAACTAAATACAAAAATCTGCATGAAAAATGTATTTCATATTTTTATCCAAATCATATGAAAAGTAAATTACTGTTTGTTTCATCTGCATGTTTGGATAATTGATGTGAATATTCACACAATTTATTGTGTAAATATTCTAAGCCACATTAATCAGCCTAGTAATGGCCTAAATACATACACTGTATTGCCAAACATATTTGGACACCCCTTCAAATCATTGGATTCAGATGTTCCCAGGGGCGGACTGACCATTTGGAAACTCAGGCACTGCCCGAGGGCCCGGCTTCAGTAGGGGACCCCATGAGATGCCCCTGATACCTTTTTCATAGGCTTTTTGAGTTTGGGTAAGGAGACAGGGGCCCCACGATCCCCTATTGCCCGGGGGCCCCATGAGTTGTCAGTCCGCCCCTGGGAGTTCCAATCACCTCTATGGCCACAGGTGTATAAAATCAAGCACCTAGGCATGCAGACTGCTTCTACAAACATTTGTGAAGTAATGGGTCGCTGTCAGGAGCTCAGTGAATTCAAGCGTGGTGGTGATAGGTTGCCACCTGTGGAATTAGTCCATCTGTGAAATTTTCTTGCTACTAAATATTCCACGGTCAACTATTAATGGAAGCAACTGGGAACAACAGCAACTCGGCCACGTAAAATGGCAGAGCAGGGTCAGTGCATGCTAAAGCACACAGTGGGCAGAAGTCAACAACTGTCTGCAGAGTCAATAGCTAAAGACCTCCAAACTTTGTGTGGCCTTCAGATTACAACAGTGCATAGAGAGCTTCATGAAATGGGTTTCCATGGCCCAGCAGCTGCATCCCAGCCTTACATCACCAAGTGCAATGCAAAGCATCAGATACAGTAGTGTGTAAAGTACACCACCACTGAACTCTAGAGCAGTGGAGACTTGTTCTCTGAAGTGACGAATCACGCTTCTCTGTCTCGCAATCCAATGGACGTGTCTGGGTTTGGCAGTTACCAGGAGAACGGCACTTGCCTGACTGCATTGTGCCAAGTGTAAAAATTGGTGGAGGGGGGATTATGGTGTTGGGTTGTTTTCAGGATTTGGGCTTGGCCCCTTAGTTCCAGTGAAGGGAACTCTTAAGGCGTCAGCATACCAATACATTTTGGACAATTTTATGCTCCCAACTTTGTGGGAACAGGTTGGGGATTGCCCCATCCTGTTCCAACTTGACTGCGCACAAGTGCACAAAGCAAGGTCGATAAAGACATGGATGAGTGAGTATGGGGTGGAGGAACTTGACTGGCCTGTAAAAAGTCCTGACCTCAACCCGATAGAACACCTTGATGCACTCCTAAACCTTGTGGACAGCCTTTCCAGAAGAGTTGAAGCTGTTATAGCTGCAAAGGGTGGGCCAAATCAGTATTGAACCCTATGGACTAAGACTGGGATGCCATTAAAGTTCATATGCAGGTGATCCAATGCTTTTGGCATTATGGTGTATATGTGACTTCCCCTCCTATCTGCAGAGGCCTTTAGGCAGTCAAAACCCCCCTTGAACGTTTCTGGAGATTTTTCATGTGTGCGCTCTAGTGGGACAACATTGAACTATGTAGTGTGCACGTTGGATACGAGATGGAGATGACCATCACTACTGTACATTACACATAGGTTGCCCAAAATCTTTTACAAACTGACAACTGAAAGAAGACAAGCTTTTAAGAGACAGCATGTAATGTAAACCTGAAATCTATGGTTTGAGCACTTTAAGTTGTTATTGGGTACTTTACATTAATACGGTACTTTCTCTATAGAATCTTTAATGTAAAGTTTTTTTTGTTTCTTTGAGTTGATTAATTTTTTCTATCTTTTGTAAACTATTTAAGAAAGATTCATTGTAATTTTATTTCAAGATCAATTTAATGTTATCTGTTGTCGCGGGGTCCTTAAACGGCATGGGGCCCATAGGCCGATACCTACTTTGCCTATTTTGGTAATCTGGTACTGCCTAGAACCAAAGAAAAGTGCACCACTCCAACCCTCCAAGTGCTCCTCTCATGTGCTGGAATAAAATCCAAAGAAAAAGTCACACAGCGATGTACAGTACTCACAGGCAAAACTTTAATCAGATGAGAAGCTTCAAATCTCTAACATGTTTCACTAAACGGGTTTACTCATAGAAGTTCCTCTATAATTATACCGATCTGGTGATTGTTATGAATTTTAAGGAACTTGAGGTTCCTCAAAAATCAATGCCAGACCTTTATCTGACCATGCAGCCTGGCTGGCCAGGAAGGGGGGGGGGGGGGGTGAGCATGTGCTTCCCCTCCTGAACCATACAATCTCGAATTCCCCCACCATGAAGGGAGGGGGGTACCTTGTCCAGAGGAACCCTCCTGGAAGAGCAATATGCCCCCATGTTGATGAAGACAAGGGTCCCCTCCCCACAACCATGCCCTGGTGGATGTGGGTGATCTGCACATGAAAACAAAACAAACAAACAGGCACAGTTTTTGACACATCCTTTATAATAAACAAAAAATCCCATGGTGTGAATCTATCATAAATCACGTTATCCAGCAATGACGATCCACAAACATCAATGAATGCTGTCTGAAGCCCAATGAAAAAAAAAAAAAATCACATTGGCCAATGCACACCTTTGATATCATCACCGGCAAGCACAGAATGATATCTTCCGAGTACTGCTGCATGTTTTAGGCTCGGTTCACACTGCTGACATCCAATTTTGATCAGATTTTCTGTGCAATTATGCAACACAACTTGGATGTAGGTTGCATATTCAGCTGGACCAAAACATTTCCATAATCACTCTGTGCTGAGTTATATTGATGTGAACGAATACCACTGAAAGCAATGTGATTTCCATGGCCATGTGACTCAAATCACATCTGAAATCACACTAGAGTAAACAGAACCTTAATGAGTGTACTTGCAGATGCCCACAAACAAAGTACCGTGGACGGGCAGCCCTCACATGCACAGCAATATATCTGTACAATGCCTGTTTACGGGTGCAGGGTGCCCGCGTGCCCCGGCCTATCTACCATCCTGCTGTGATTGTACACAGTGGGAGTCAGTGGCGTCACTAGGGCTGGTGTCACCTGGTTTGGTAAAACATGGTGTCACCCCCCCCAATAATTTTTGCAACCTGCATTTGGGGTGACATTAACTTTGCACTGACATCCGCAGCAGATTGCAAGGGCAGTGCAACTGGAATATGGCTAAGTTGCAAGGGTATGTAACTTTCCCGCACCACATTCTAGTGTGAAAGACCCTAAAACTGTGAATTAGTCCTATGCAACCCAGGATAGTAGAGCAGGGAACTCTCTTATGGTCTGTTCATATTGGCACATGGTGCAGGAAACCCATATTTTCTGCACGTTTGCCACACTGCATTCCAAATGCACTGCCCTTGTGATCTGCAGCGGGTGTCAATGCATAGTTCAGGACACCCCAAATGCAGGTCGCAATTGCAATGCATTTGCCCAAACCAGATCACATGGTACAGAAGTTTCATGTAATCCAGTTGCAGTGCATTTCCAAAAGTAGAGGATGCACTACGTTTGGTGTGGTGCGATATGATTTCAGCCCATTTGAAATGAATGGGCTGAAACTGCACTGCACCGCAGTGCACTCGGATCCCATGTGAATTGCACAGGAACGTGCTCCTGTGCAATTCATAGTGTGAATGGGCCCTCAAGCTGGGAACAATAAAGGACTCAGCTCAAAAAGAACCTTGAACAAAAACTATAAGGCACTCACAAATGGAGAAGCGATCATTCATTAAAACAAACTGTGGGGAAGATGACACAGTACATCCAATCACAGTCTGAATGGAGAGGAGAGCCAGTCGGAGCAGAGAGAGATCTATCACAGCTTGGAGCTGGGACGTTGGAGTCTTCATACTTCACTGGACACTGTCAAAGTCCTTCCTCCTGGATTGGCTCCTAGGATGGACAACACACTGGTCCAATGTCAGGAAATTGGACCAGTGGGATGTCTATTACAGGAGCTAGTCCAGGAGGTGGGACCTTGCTTGACAGCGGCTAGCATTTTAGCTCCAAGCTGTGTGACAGCGGGAGATCCCCTTTCTGTCTGCTGCGGCCCGCTCTCCTCCCCATTTAAACTGTGATCAGATGCTCTATGTCATCTTCCCCCACAGTTTTTATTAATGACTAATTGCTTCTACGCCACTTCCGCTGGCCCTGCATGTTTGCAGCAGAAGCAGTGCAGCTTTTTAGGGGGCATCAGAATATCCCAGTGAGTAATTGGCCCAGTCTGCCCTTGGTGTCACCGCTCTGGTGGGTGTCACCCGGGTGCGGATGTAACAATGCCGCTGGAAGGAGTTTGTCAGCAGGTCATGGCCAATGATTAATGGTCGGGACCTGCTGAACTGCTGTGCCCAATTACAGTCCAGAGACCTGTTTTGACAATCAATACAGGGCTCTGTACAAAGGGAACAATCTCTATTTATTATAAAGCAGCACACATTAATCACATCAACACTTGTTAGGCACACATTTTACTCAATTACCCAAGATGTTAACCTCTTCCCAGCCAGTGTAATTAGTATACTGACAGTGTATAGTATTATTACTGAACACTGTATTAGTGTCACTGGAGATGTCAGTGGCAGTTAGTTCCCACCCAGTGTCAGTTAGTGTCAGACTGCACTTTCACAATACCACTATAAATCACTGATCACTGCCATTAATAGTATAAAAAAAAGTTACTGTATATATACCATCGTTTGTAGACGCTAAAACTATCATGCAAACCAATCAATATTACACTTATTGGGATTTTTTTTTAACAAAGACATGTAGCACAAATGCATTTTGACTTAAATTTAAGAAGAAATATGAAAATTAAATATATTTTTTTGTTGGATATGTTTTATAGCAGAAAGTAAAAAATATTGTTTTATTTTTTTTATACAATAAAAAATATAAAGCCCAGTGGTGATCAAGTACCACAAAACAAAAGCTCTAATTGTGTGAAAAAAAGTTAAAATAGAGTGGTGCTAAATAGCCTGGTCATGAAGGGGTAAAAGCTTCTGGAGCTGAAGTGTTAATTTACTTGAATAAGGTAAGTTTTCTTTTCTGTACAAGCAACTGATGAAATATATTAGAGATGTAAGGCAGCTATACATTTAATGATTTTTCAATGAACACATTACTTGACAAAATATTTTTTTTTAAGTACTTGCCCGGAGTTCAGCTTTAAAGCTAAAGATATTAGCAGGTATGAGCCTAGGCTTGGCTTTGCTGCCTCTCTGGCTGTCTCCGATGATTTCCAGGAGCAGTCTGCACACATAACCTTTCTCCTTCCCTGGAATGTGATATAAGAAGTGAATTCCTGTCAGAATTCTGGTAATACATTTGTTTCTTTGTAGCATTATGACAGTTTTATTTACTTCTTGGCATTTCAGGCGCTGGAGCATAAGCAGTAATGAAAGTGTAGTTCTCCGTGTACTTCCTGTAAGCACTTCATACACTATTTAATCCAGACCGTTGGATTTATCACTCTCAAATTATCTTGTTTATTTGATTTAAGGATTTCTCTTCCAAAATTTCAAGAACCAGACGAAGCTGATATTACAAATTTTATATTTCAAGGCAACCAGTAATCAGTTTTTATAATATATATATATATATATATATATATATATATATATATATACACACACACACACACACATATATATATATATATATATATATATACACACATACACACACATACACTCACACACACATATATATATATATATATATATATATATATATATATATATATGTGTAATGAGCGAACTATTGGCGCTTTATAAATACTGTATAATAATAATAATATATATATTTACACACACACACACAGGTATATGGTGGGTGCTTATAAGGAAACTTCAAAGCAGCTAGCACAAGAGATAGTGACAGCAAATATCACATTAGCATACACAGTATGTATATAGTGCAGCACTAAAAAAAAATATATATATGATATAAAAATTAAATCATCAAAATCAAATAAAATATCTCTCAGTGAGACATAAGTGCAAAATTCATAACATATAACTCAGTGAAACAATGAACAAATGAAATCCATCAAATATATGTCAATATGACAAACGAACAGTCCATTAGGTGAACCAATAATGTGTCAGTGGCACTATAAGACACAGCAGCAACGTGTTCTATTCCAGGGGGGGCCTTGCTTTAAAACGTACCTTTTCGTGGTGCTCAGGTGAGATCAGTTAACCCCGTATAGGTTGGAAGCAGGGGCGGACTGACCATTTGGAAACTAGGGCACTGCCCGAGGGCTCGGGGTCAGTAGGGGGCCCCATGAGATGCCCCTGGTACCTTTTTCATAGGCTTTTTTGAGTTTTGGGCAAGGACACAGGGGCCCCATGATCCCCTATTGCCTGGGGGCCCCATGAGTTGGTAGTCTGCCTCTGGTTGGAAGCCGACGATCCCCTCAGGATGGATTGGATCTGCGGATTGGGGAGGATAATGGAACGGACTCTGATCCATTATGCTCAATCTGCAGATCGGATCCATCCTGTGGGGATCGTCGGAGGGGATGTCACCAAGTGTTCTGGCACCGGGTGACACCAACCTTAGGGACGCCCCTGCCATTAGGTGAACCAATAATGTGTCAGTGGTACTATAAGACACAGCAGCAACGTGTTCTATTCCAAACAAGTGTTACAGGATCCAGTGAAACATTCCACCACCACTATACACTCACCAGAAAGCTACTGGTATAGTATCAGTAATCACTGATCACTCAGATGAAATGCTTAGATTAGCCAAAAGGACTTATCCTAGGAACAAAGCTCACCACACGGAACCCAGAAAGTGTAGTACTTTTATTAAAATAGGTATAAAACATTCCACGTGGAAAGATAAACAGACACGCACATCCTCAGGGGTACGCACGAAATGCGTTGGGTGGAGACTACATGCTGATGTCACGTTGCCGCGTCCATGACTAGGAGCAACGGCCATATTGGTATGTGAATTCACCCATGTCTGTTCATCTTTCCACGTGGAATGTTTTATACCTATTTTAATAAAAGAACTACACTATATATCACTTTCTGGGTTCCGTGTGGTGAGCTTTGTTCCTAGGATAAGTCCTTTTGGCTAATCTAAGCATTTCATCCGAGTGATCAGCGATTACTGCTACTATACCAGTAACTTTCTGGTGAGTGTATAGTGGTGGTGGAATGTTTCACTGGATCCTATATATATATTTAATGGATTTCATTTGTTCATTGTTTCACTGCGTTATATGTTATGAATTTTGCACTTATGTCTCACTGAGAGATATTTTATTTAATAAACACTGGTGTTTTATTTGATTTTGATGATTTAATATTTATATCATATATATATAATTTTTAGCGCTGCACTATATATATATTTTTTTTTACACATTAAAAACTGTAATTTATATCTTGTGAGGTCTTAAAGTGTAAATAAGGGCACTTTTTATATTTTGTTCATTTTGGATAGAGTGAGAAAGGGTTAGATTCTCTGTCAAGTTTGTATTGCTGTCTGTATTCCCATTGGGGGACCATTATAGCAGCTGACCATTTGAGCACTCGGACCCTGCCCAAGGGCCCGGGGTCAGTAGGGGGCCCCATGAAATGGCCCTGGTACCTTTTTTATAGGCTTTTTTGAGTGTCAGCAAGGACACAGGGTCCCCATGATCCCCTATTGCCCGGGGGCCCCATGAGTTGTCAGTCCACCCCTGGTTTGAATAATACCCTTTATTGGCTATCTTAAAGCAGACATCGACTCAAAAGTGAATGTACCTCCCTATCCCTTCTAACATATTTGAGGCCTTTTTATTTTTTATTTATTTATTTTTCTCAGAGCAAGTAAGTTTTTTTTTTCGACAGGTACTTTCTCACACTTCCTTAAAAGCTGTCCAGACAAAAATGATGTCACTTGATCCCACTCCCCTCCCTGCCCGAAGTTTCCTGGAACACACCACATGTCCAGGTTACAGGAACAGTATCTTGTGCATGTGCAGTGGGAAGCCCGCTGTGATTCCTCAGGAAGGCACATCTGTCTCCCAAATCCAAGATGGCGGTGCCAGGGACCCCATAGGAGAGAGAAGAAACGGTTGTGGGAATACAGCACTGTACTCCAAGAACTGGAAAGTGTCTGATATTTAAAAGTCAATAACTACAGTGTTTGTAGGGGCTGAGTTTGATTTTTTTTTTCTACAAGGGGTGAAGTTTTTTGTAAAAAAAAATGATATCACCCAAACTGCAGATTCATTGTCACCAAGAATGAAAGTGAGGGTAAAGTAAATTCTAGATTTTAAAGTTGACACCTGAATGAAATGTATTGGGGAAAATTCCATTAGGGACACATGTTCCAGGAACAAATCTCTAAAAGGGCAACTGCCTTCCTCCAACTTCCTGTTCTGGGTCCATGCACACTGGGCTTAAAAAACGCTGCTTCTGCAGGAGTTTTTAATTTGTTTCTCCTGCCTGTAGAAGCAGCTCAGTGTTATCCTATGTGTCCATCCTCATTAGGGCGTTTAGAGCCATATTTCAAGAGCAGAGTTTAGAGGCAGAAAAAAAACATCACAAGTGCATTTTTGAGAGGAGTTTTCAAGCAAAAAAAATCACTGAATGCTCAAAAACACAGCATTTAGGAGCATCCTACATTTTCAAGTGTACATTATTTATTTATTTATTTCAGGTACTTATATAGCGCCATCAATTTACACAGTGCTTTACATATATATTGTACATTCACATCAGTCCTTAACCCTCAAGGGGTGTACAATCTAAGGTCCCTAGCTTACATTCATACATACACATACTAGGGCCAATTTAGACAGGATCCAATTCAGCTACTAGCATGTCTTTGGAGTGTGGGAGGAAACCGGAGTACCCGGAGGAAACCCACGCAGGCACAGGGAGAACATGCAAACTCCAGGCAGGAGGTGCCGTGGCTGGGATTCGAACCAACGACCCTAGTACTGACAGGCAGAAGTGCTAACCATTTAGCCACTGTGCTGCCCATACATTGAAAAATGAGCTAAGTCGCTGTCTCAGCCAATGAGGAGGCAGAGACCTGGGACAGCCAAGGTTGCTGTTCACATCGCTGGATTGTGATGAGGCTCAGGTAAATTTTAAGAGGACTGGGGGCACTGCTGCACACAGAAGGTTTTTTTACCTTCATGCAGAGAATGCATGAAGGTAAAAAACTTTGAGCCTTTACAACCACTTTAAAGCAGAACTCCACCCAAAAGGGGAAGTTCCACTTTAAGGACTGCTCACCCCACTCCCCATTAAGGATTGGCACCTTTGGGGGGCGGGAGGGGGAGCGGGTACCCGAATTTGACAGGTACCAGCTCCCACTTCTGGTCCAATCACCTAGGCCAGGGGTGGGCAACTGTGGCCCTCCAGCTGATGGTGAACTACAAGTCCCATGATGCCTCTGCCTTTGGGAGTCATGCTTGTAATGGTCAGTTTTGCAATGCCTCATGGGACTTGTAGTTCTACAACAGCTGGAGGGCCACAGTTGCCTACCCCTGGCCTAGGCGATTGGAAATGGAAGGTGTCCTCCCTCCCTGTAGTCTGCATTAGACCAATGAAGCTTTGAGAATGAGATACCCACACCATGGGTGCTTAGGGTTGCCACCTCATCCCTTTAAAACCAAACGCATATTAATGACACAGGTTCTGAGGCTAATTTAATGCAGATAAGGCACTGAGTTTAATTACCACCTTAATCAGCCCCAGAACCTGTGTCATTTGTATGTGTTCAGTTTTAAAGAGATGAGGTGGAAACCCTATTGGTGATACAGGTGGGCAAAGTCTGGAATTCAACTCCATTATTTTTGGAGGGACCCTTTTTTAAAAAAAGGTTTTTAATTTCCTACTTTACTGTGATTATGCGCGCCATGGAATTTAGACTTGTACATCATTATATCTTCAAATGTAAATCTAGCATTCTAAAATTGCATAGCTAATGTTTTCATAGATCTTGCTTGACTGCTTCAAATGCTCCGAAAAATAGCGAGCAATTTGCTCTTCTTCATGTTGTAGTCTAGTTTTAAGAAAGATTTCCTTTGATGAATAAAATATGGCAAGAATTGAAAACATGAAGGCTCAGGAGCTAAGCTCCTATAATCAACATTTGTATTCTGTTGCCTCAATTTTATTTAAAGTATTGGGCCTGACTTACCAAAGTGTGAAGTGAACTATAAGAAAGTGGAAGAACATCTGCTTATTGAAAAAAACAATTATTCTTCACATCTACATCACAAAACTAAAAAAGACAAAAAACAGCATTGCCAGATGTCTAAGGAGTACATTTATTAAGCAGAGATAATTTATCTCAGTTCAGTTCTCAGGGAAAAATCGTCTCCTCTGTCCTTCTGTTTATAAAGCGGAGAACATTTGTTCTCAAAAGGAGAAGAGAGACAATGTTTTTCCTCTGAGATCTGTGTAGAAGGGGGAGGATTGCATGTGATCTCCTGAGATATTTGTGGGATTACAGATCACCTGAGTTTAACCACTTGCCTACTGGGCACTTTTACCCCCTTCCTGCCCAGGCCAATTTTCAACTTTCAGTGCTGTCACACTTTGCATGAGAATTGCACGGTCATGCAACATTGTACCCATATTTTTTTAGACAGGTAGAGCTTTATTTTGGTGGTTTTTAAGCACCACTGTTTTTTTTTTTTTTTTCATTTTTCTCTAAACAAACCAAAAAAATACCAAAAATCTTGAAAAAAAATGTTTTTTCTGTTATAAAATTTTGCAAACGGGTAATTTTTTCCTTCACTGATGTGCGCTGATGAGGCTGCACTGATAAGCACTCATATGCAGCACTGATAGGGTTCGCTCATGGGTACTGATGAGACGGCACTGATGGGAACTGACAAGGAGGCACTGAAGGTCACTGCCTGGCGGCATTGTACACTGACTGGCAGCACTGATGGACACTGTTGGGGCTGGAGGTTGCACTGTACTGCCTCTGATTTTTAAATAAATTTGCCGATTACTGGCTCTTCTCTTTCCTCATGCTGTGACAACGTCAGGAAAATGCAGCCGATAACCAGCAAATATATTTACATTGTGATCAGCCGTGTCATTGGACACGGCTGATCACGTGGTAAAATGGCTCTGTGACTACCATGTCATGTGATCAGCTGTGTCGCTGAGTGGTCACAGGGAGCCCCCAGGGGGCACACAGGAGGCATGGTTCTGGAAGACATCATATGACACCCACCCAGAACTAGAGGATCGTGATGTGGCCATCATTTGGCTATAGCCCAGTCGTCAAGTGGTTAAACAGTGAAACCAAACTTAAAAAGACCAAGAAATTACATGAAAATAACAAGCACTGACCACTAGTACTTTTTTACGCACATTTTGGTATATTCTCTGTATTTTGGCTCCTTTTTATCACGCTTTTTGGCATTATTTATGTGAATTTTGCCACTGTTTAACATGCTGTATTTTTTTAACACGCATTTTGGCGTGGGGTTTTTAATGTGCATTTTGGCGCTTTTCTAAACACACATTTAGGCGCTTTAACGCACATTTTGGCACAGGTTATTTTAACATGCTTGTTGGTGTGGTTTGTAACACGTATTTTGGCACTTTTTTTAACGTGCATTTTGATTTGTTTTTATGCGTATTTTGGCAAACTGCACATCTGCTAGCCACTTTTGGGTGCCATTAACTAATAATGCACTGCAAACATGACATGCATTTTGCATGCATTTCCAGAACACACACAAAAACGCAGGTAAAAAAAAATGAACCAAAGTACATGGTAAAAAAAGTACCAAAATGCACATAAAAATTTCAACACATTTTTTTTAAAAATGTGTGTTGAAAAAAAGCAGCAACATGTTCGTTTTAAAGAACTGCACCAAAATGTGCATTAAGAAGGCCCAAAAAGCCAAATTGAACCTTTTTGGGCATGGAGTATTGTGTGTTTTTTCAATGCGCATTTTGGCTTGGTGATAGTGCATTTGTCAAATGGCAAAATGTGCAGCAAAATGCATGTCTACTAACAGCATTTGGGGTGCCATTAACAATGAATGGCACCCGAAACTGCACTGCGTATTTTAACACAATTTTAGCATAATTTGGAATCGTGTCAAGAATTGTGCAATTCTGCCAACAGTTCTGCATTGCTCAGGTGTGAATGGGTCCTGAACGACAATACATTATTATAACTATACTGTATATATAAAGATAAATAGATACAGTAGATAGATACTGTACAGTACATATAAAACACAAATATACATATTTACATGCATAAACATATACAGTATGTTGGGCAGCACAGTGGCTAAATGGTTAGCACTTCCACCTGGCAGTACTAGGGTCGTTGGTTCAAATCCCAGCAACGGCACCACCTACCTGGAGTTTGCATGTTCTCCCTGTGCCTGCGTGGGTTTCCTCAGGGTACTCCGGTTTCCTCCCACACTCCAAAGACATGCTGGTAGGTTAATTGGATTCTGTCTAAATGTGTATGTATGAATGTAAGTTAGGGACTTTAGAGTGTACACCCCTTGAGGGTTAGGGACTGATGTGCATGTACAATATATATGTATAAAGTGCTGTGTAAATTGATGCCGCTATATAAGTACCTGAAATAAATAAATAATATATAGTTATAATTTATAGCAATGTTTAACCTTGCTGGTGCTGATATTAGGAAGCCAGAGATGGCCAGTGAAATTTTCAGATCTCATTGGCCATCTTTGTAAAAGTAAATGACAGAAGGGTGTGTCCTGTGATGGTGATGAGAAGTAAAGAAAATGCTCTTCACTCCTCACCTTCATAAACTGG